GACGGACCCAGACCGCAGACCTACCCATTCTGGCAGGTTGCCGCCGTTTTGAGCAACCAACGGAGCAGTTAATGGGAAAGAGACTGTGACGGACCTACGGAGGAGTACTGTAGGTCGGCTTGCCCGTTAGTTTGACGTAAATAGTTGTCACAGAATGAAGATGCTGGCATTGGCATGCTGCTGTGCCTCTCTTCTCGCTGTAGCTCTAGCCGAGGACATGCACGCAAAAAGTCCACACGGCCACCCGTATTCTCTTCCTTGTCGACCTGAAAGCAAATCCGCTTGATGTCGGCCCTGTTTTCCACCAGAATGGGGTGACAACGACCCCTGGCTCACACCACACTCGACTGTTGCTCGTGTCTCCTGTGCCCCGACTACCTACACCAGAATAGTTGCAGGAGCTGGAACAACACCACACCGATCTACAATACATGTAGTAGCAGCACCGGCTCACGTTTGTCAAATTAGCAGTGGATGACAGAGGATCCTGTCAACCTGCACCGAGCAGCTCCATCGGGTCCGCCGTCTGGGGCTGGGCATTGTCATCTATCAGACTCGCCGCAGGACGAACAAACCCCAGACGCTCTGAAACCAGCACTACGTCACAACACTTCCAGGCGAGAGCCCGGCGGGCATTGGGTTTGTTTCGTTTGGAAGGTCGCGAGCATTGACTGCCATGCTGATATGGGGAAGCGATCTCTTCGCGAAGCGCATTGCGGAAACGATCAACGGCTGGGGGTCTCAAGAGCTCCAGCTACGTAATGGCCCCGTCGAGAGCCCCTCGTTGAGCACCGACCTGGGTGTGCTTACAAGCATGACAAGCCGTGGCTTCGGGAGAGCGCCCGGCTCTGCATCAGACAAGTGTGCCAGGGTCGCTGATCGGGGTTGTGTCAGAGATGAGGTTAAACAGCAAGAGAGATTGCAGAGCTTGGATGCTGGGGCTAATGCCGCTTTTTCCACACTGATCTCGGCCAAATTTCGTTTTCAATTTGCCGTGCCAGTGCCTGCCGGCTGTTGACGCCAACCTCACCCCCAGGTCGTCCTGGGTGCTGTTTAGCCTGGAGGTGCCCGTTTATTTCCCCTTTGGGCCGCCTGGGAACACCCACGGCTCCCTCTAACGGGCCCTGGATTCCAGGGCGTCTGCGCTAAGCAACGCCCGCTGTCAGTCACTGTCGTGCTTTTCCTGTGGGTAACGCAGATGTTCGACATCCATTCATGGATGAATGGTGAGATTGATGGAGGCACTGTATGCAGGTGTGATAAGGGAGCACGTACTAGCAGGAAATGTAGACTTGTGATTTGGTCTATTATTTGATGCTCTCTTGTCGCGTACTTCGTCACTTGAACCGAGTGCACCGGTGAAGGCAGCGTGCAACCCTGCTTGCCCGGCTTGGTTCTCTTCCTCGAGCTCGAGGAAGGATGCAGCAGCATCATCGTCGTCATCAATCACTATCAGCAAGGCTGCAACCCACACGACTGTCATTGTGCATTTGCGCAGCCACTTTGGGTCTACTTGTGTACTCGCCTCTGGCGTTTACCCAGGATCAGGCTGGTTGGAGAAGCTCCACCTGCTGGAGTGAGCCTGCGAATACCTACCTACCTACCGTACGTTTATTAGGTACAGAATCTTTGGGAAGAAGCCAGGATAATACGTCACAAACGGGACCAGTCCGTCCACTGGGGGGCACCGAACGGTTGCTGAGTGGCCCGTCTGCGACCCTTTTGCGTCAGAGGTCGATTTTTAGGCCCAGCCGGCCTCGAATCAGCAGCGCCGCGCTCCAATGGCAGCCCCCCCCCACAGATACATCGCATTCCGTTCCTCGGTGCTCGGTTCTGCAGGACGGTGGGTGGATGGATGGATGGATGGATGGAGATGCAGAGGATGGGGAAAAGTGCTAGCTTGTGGTCTCTCTCTGCCAGTCGAATCCCGGCACAGCCAAACTATCGCTGCAGCTGCTGGCTTTGTGGCCCCTCTCCTCTCCCCCGTTGTCGTCGTCCCCTCTACCCTGTGCGATAGCGTCCCCTTCCCTCTCCCCTCCGCTGTACAAGGTACGGTAACTACTGGTGAAAGATTCTCACCACCATCATCCGTCCCCCCTCCCTGCAGTTTCCTTCCTTCAGGGCTGCGCTCCACCGCTCAGATGCGCTAATCCAGCACTAGCAATGCATCGAGCCTTCCCAGGGACCCGCCATCTTCTTTCCAATGACTGACTGGCAGACTGCAACCTGAGGCATGAATACATCACATCCTGGTCGTCTTTCGTTTTGAGCGACTCGAGACTTTTGACATGGATCTCCTTTGCATGCCAGCAGCCACCTAGGATGTTCTCATCGCACGCCCTCCCACCCTCCTACAAGTACTTGTAGTTAGGTGTCTCTCAGAACTACAAGGAAGCACATTTCATCATCACACGCCCCCCTCACCTTTGCATACCTAGTCCCCTCGATTGGTGCTCTCTTGACCTGCCGAGCCCCTCCCCAGTATTTCTCCGTTCACAGTGGTAGACCTCTCGCCTCTGCACCGCTGCAAGGTGTGGGAAACTGAAAGTACAATGCCTGGGTATCTACGGGAGTATGTAACAACAACATACACCAGTGACAGCTCTTGCCCAGATACCGTCTCCCGTCGCTGACTTGCTCCATGGTCGCCACTGTTTTCGACCCCCTTCTCTGCCAGGTGCCGCAAGATGCAGATAATACTCCGCAACTGGTCAGAGCAGAGATAAGACGTCCTCGTCTTGGACATGTATCTCTTCCCCCGCACAGTCTGTCGATGTGTGGTTGGACCCTGAATCTGGTTAAGCAGGGTGGGAATAAGGCGAACAAGACCATAGGCCTACCTATGATAGCCCAGGTACATTTTCGCCCTCGACCCCCTCCAAAAACCAACACACGCTCAGACGCCAGAGGCCCAGCCGACGACCCAGCAAAAAGACATCATGCAAGGAATTGGTCATAGGCAAGCAGCTTCAGAACCAGCAATAACCAGTGTCAAATTGCACCGAGATCAGAGAGCACTTGGGCTGTCAGACCCTGCATGACCCGTTCCCATCCCCTCCACCTCCCACATCAGTGGCGCTTGTTAGCTGGCAACGCCAACGTTGACCGGGCCCTTGGTCCCACCCACCAAACATTCCCATCCCGTACAGCGAGGACCACAGCTCTAGGAGAGATGGGTCAGGTACTCCAGGTACGTCAATCTACTCAGGTACCTCCATTGTCTGCCAGAGCTGCGAGACAAGGTGGTACTTAAGCTACAGCTCGCAGGCACAACACCGTCTTCCGCACCTGGTTGAGCCCCCCTCGAAACTCTTTCCTACGACATGGGCGCCAGTACTGGTACGAGCACGATGCGATGTCCATTCTTCCTGAGACGGAATAGACATCCAGCTGCACAGAGCAGACAGCAGGCTCGCCTAGAGAGTCACTAATAAACGGAGCATTCAATCTCATGGCGTAGCCAAACGACTGGGAAGGGTACCCAGTCTGTCCATCTGCGCCTTACGGAGTACCTAGGTTCAGACCTTCGAGGTGTCCCAGGGGCCTAAAATATCAGTTTGCCGCCGCCGTACTCGCGCAGTCCCCAACACCAAGCCTGCTGGTCCCACCCCCCTTGGATGTGCCCTGGGTGTGTGTCCTTTGACCTACACCCCGACGCCATCATCGCCCACACCCCCCTCTCCACACACCGTCCCCTCCTGGCTCCGGCTTGACACCACCCCTGCCGGAACGGCTTACACCTGCTCAGAATACCGTTGACTTTCATCATAGCTCTCCTCCAGAAGAGGGTCTTTGCCTCTGGCACACTGGCGAGAATTCTATGTAAAGCTTGGCCTGCCCATTTTTCTGCCATCAAAACACACACGGCTATCGCCATACACACAAATCCAACTCGATTCTTTTCCAACACACGCTCGTTTGGAAAACCAACAAGCTGGTACCGTACCAACAGAAACAAAGATCAGCACTCGCAACATCTTCCTAAGGGAAACCCATCTCGTAGAAAGAAGCACACCAAAGACACTCAATTCACACCCACGCCCACCACACCCCATACACAATCTCGCAGTCATCATCATTATCATCAGCAAAACCGGGGCCCATAAAGGTCTACATCGACACGTTTTGTATCAACGCCCCCTGAGGATACCTGCTGTTGCTCCCTGAGGATCAACATCCAGCGCTGGGTTCATCGTCTGAATCCCAAACCTCTCCTTCGGGACCACCCACGCGCGGCCCTAGTTCACAGTGAGCCCATCTCCCGGATCTTGCACGAGGTCTTTGTGTTGATCTTTCCGTCACAGGCAACCGAACCATCTGGTATCAAGAAAATCGATCGGCCGGGGTACAGATTGACTTGCACCACACGCATCTCTCTGTCCTCTTTTCAGCCCTGGTCTGCCGCTACACACCCAAACCCTGCGACTTCCGGCTCCCCTAGGGTCCTCCTTTAGGAAGGGATATTGGGCTGTCGATCCCTCTTCGCAACAGGCGTCACAAGTCACTGAGTCTGTCCCCACCCGTCCCGCTGACCAAGAGGTCCGGCTTTGAACGCTGGTGGTCGGCATACCCATTGGCCCCAGCTTTGCTCTGGTACTTCACTGTCCACCTCTCCCGCCAACCACAACCACTCCACTTGCATGCGGTCCTGTCCGCACCCTCTTGTCACTCAGAAGACACTTAAGGATCGCTGATCCCACCCGGCTTCTCTTGCACGTCGACAGATCTTCTCTCTCGTCGTCTGTCCCCTTACCCGAACAACCCATCGTCTGTGTCCGTCTGGCGTAGGTGACACGACTTTGTCCACCCTTCACCACGGGATCTCGCATCCGATCAACGAAACAGGCTAGGGGCTCCGCGTGTTCTCTCATACATACACTTGAGAATCCCCTTGTCTCTTCGTTCCACCTTCACACACACCGCTCTACGAAAGGCGTGTTTCTTTTCTTCAACTTGCTCACCATATCATCGGTACACTCATCGTCGCAACCCCTGACACCATGACGATGACCATCGACAGCAATCAACAGCGCTTTGCTGGCGGGCTCAACTACGACCACATGTCTTCTTATCCGACGTCTCAGCCTCAGTTCACGAACCCCTGGGTCTCGTCGTCGTCGGCAGCGGTCCCCCAGAGTGGTGCCTCGCATGGCATGTACAGCGGCAACCAGCAAGGATTGAACCCCAATCCGCTGAGCCTCGACACTCTGAAGCATCACCAGCCGCAGCAGCCAGTCTCCCGGGCGAGCACGAGTAGCAGTGCCTCAATGGGTTCTTTTGGATCCATCCCGGTGACGTCTGCGTCAGCAGGTAGCCCTCTCAGTATGACGCACAACGCCTTTGTTGGACAACAGGACTTACTCTCATTACCCCAAGATCTCCTGAACATGAATCGCATGCCGCACCACCAGACCACCTCGGCCGCCTACCCGGAAGCCGCCTACACGACGTCTGCCTCTCCCATCCACTCCAACTACGCCGCCTCGCCCACGCCCTACGACTCGCTCGGCTATGCGCCGGCCCCGATGCGTTCCACCTTTGCCATGGCTCCGGAAACCGAGCAGAGAAGGTACTCTCAACCGTCAGTACCCTCATCCCTCTTGAGCAGCTGCATTTGCAGATGACTCGCTGCAGCCGCAGCACCGGAACTCATTGACTGACTTTGATCACAGAAGCATGCAACACGACGATCGCCGCAGCTTTGCCGATGCCATTGAGGCGAGCCACGGCATCCTGTCCCTGAGCCAGGAGACACCGCGCCCTATCTACGGTAGCCGGACCCGGGGCTCTGGTGACTCGTACGGTTTCCCCTCCACGCACTCGACGAGCTCCAGCGTCTCCAGCACCGGCTTCAGCGGCTACTACGGCGGCTCCGTCGATTCGAGCGTCAGCGACTACTCGACTGCCGGCTCGGACATTGAGTCGGTTACCTCAAGGACACTACCCCGGCCCCAGGGCATGATGGCCAGCCAGGTGCCGCCGGCGCCCCAGTCCATGATGGGCCAGTTCAGCTCCAAGGTCTCGAGCAGCACGCAAAAGAAGCACAAGTGCAAGGTTTGCGACAAGCGATTCACCCGCCCGAGCTCGCTCCAGACGCACATGTACAGCCATACCGGCGAGAAGCGTAAGTTTGGGCCCAAGGTACCGGCAGTACTTTTTTCAAGTGTACGGTATGCTAACGTCTAGTGACACGACAGCTTTCTGTTGTGAGGTTGAGGGCTGCGGCCGCCACTTTTCTGTCGTCTCGAACCTCCGGCGCCACCGCAAAGTACACAAGGGACAAGCGCCATCTGAGGCCGGTTCGGAGGATCACCACTCTGATTGAGTGTCGGAATGAGCCTGGGAATGTTCCTTTTTTTTCCACTACATCTCACGTTATGCGCCCGCGACCCGAATAGAGATTGTCACGACCCCCTTTCCATCCGCCAACACTACACCACTTTTAATTCGCATCATTCGCTCATCTGTCGATACGCCCGGCATTATTTGTCCGCTTCTTCCGCTCACAGCGGACCTTTTGGCGACGCCCTGTTTTACGAAGTAAGAGACGGCACGAAAACAACACACTGTATATTTATCCTCCCAGATCGGTCTTGTCGCGAGGCGCAGGAGAGGTTCCCGTGGGACTTGGCCTGGAGACTCTTTGCTCGGTTACGCTGGTGCAGACCACCTGAGAGCTGTGAGAACAGCGGTGTTCCCAGCTCGCACATGGTCACACCGTCATCCACCGCGGTTCCATGCATTGGTGCCCACGGGCAGACCTGTGGGCACTACGATCTGGGTTCATGTGGGGAAGGATGTTCTTTTCATGTCGATCGCTCCCAAAAATGAGCCTGGGTCCGGAGTATGTCCCAGGACACTTGTGCCTTTCCATGTCACGGAAGGCCTCGCGATTCGTTTATCGATCCTGGTTAGCTGGGCTGGGCTGTCGCTTCCTGTCGTGCCTCGACGGAAATGACCCTCTCTGATGAATGGTGGTCACATTCAACAAGGGACTTGACCAGCCCTCATGACCTGGCGTTTATGGAGCGGAACTTGTCTTTTGGCCCTTTTTGCGATTTTCCGCGCGCTCCTGCTTTTTTGCTTATTCTACGATCATATCGTGTCTGTCGTTACCCATGCAAAATTTTTGTTCACAAGGGGCCGGGGGGGAAGGGGGATTAGAGCCAACGTTTTGTTTTTCCTCTCCAGCTGTGCGCGTTCCTAGACACAATGCGACGGAAGATGAAGAAAGGAGGCGGAAGGAAACCGAGAGGGTTTCCTCCCGCCCAATTGTACTATTAGTCTTGCTATTGGATGCTCTTGCTTTTTGCTGTTCGAGTTGCTTATTTTGTCTGGCATATACCCACAATCTGCACACAGAACATGGTCTCTTGGAAAAGGAGGAAGGGGGATATCGCGAAGGGGACAGACAGCTGGTGTTTGCAATCCCCGGGAGCCCATGTTACGAGGGAGCGGGCAGAGATGGTCAATCCGCTACGGATCCGGCAATGGTTCGGACTGTTGACGAAAGCTCGTGTATTTTTAAATATATTATATTGTCCTCATATGAGCTCTCTATCTCGTTTCTGCACGTCCTGCCATCTATGTGAGGGAATGCTGCCGCGTGAAGGGACGGACCTACATGAACTTTGCAGCGAGAGCGGACGGCAGTACAAAGCCACAGACACTGAACGGAACGCCAAGGGACTTGACTGTATCGGATGTGCCTTCTGAAGGTCCCTTTTCCACCCTATGCCTCTTCCTCTGACCGAGCAACAAGAAGGCCGGCTCCCGCAGCAAGCGCGAGATGTCCTGAGGGCACCAATGAGGACATCGAGTGCGCCAGTTTTAGGGGTGGGGTGTTGAAGGGATCGACGTCTGCGAAACCGTTATGGATTGCTTATGTCTCCCCCCTCTCGCTCGCCCCGTTTCCCATCTCTGTCTCTGTCTGGTTAGTAGGTACATAGTAACTAACATTTGTATTTTTCGCTCAGAGGCGGAAGATACCACCAAAAGATACGAACCCTCGCCACGGGGGCGGGCTTTTGGGTTTGGCTTTTTGGGAACACGGCCGGGGGGAGTCGGCGGGAAGGAAAAGGGACAAGGATGCCCTGTTCGGCATCATCAGCGCGCCAGACCGTTTGCGCGATTCGACTTACAAGTACTAGCTAGTTCGGTCGGCCGAGGCAAATGGCAATAAGAGCAGTCTTAACAAAAAGTTAGCTGGTGAATGACCGCGAAACGAGGCGGTGGTGGCAGTAATGGTCTAGTTACTGTAAGTGCTCCGTACAAGTACGAAGACGTCGACGGTGGTGGGGAGGACATTTTACAAGTACAGTTCTCATAAAGACCTAGCTAATAGTTACAGCGAAGATCCATCCATCTTGGTGCTTGTGCTCTTCGGGCTCCCCACCCACCCCTTGTAACGTCTCCCTGCTGCTCGGGTCACTAAAAGTCTCCAGTGGTCCAGCTGGAGCGGTACCGTCGAGGTAAGCTTATTGGGCCGTTTTTCGGGCGGTGAGCCCGTTCGTGCTGACACATTCTTCCCATCATCTTAATAAGTCTCAAAGAGCTTCACTTATTACTTCGCACCTACGTACGAGGCGGTGCGGGGTGGGGGAGGCGAAAAAGACGATGTTCGGCATGTTCGATGTTGCACATTGGAATCCCCCCTTCCCCCTCGTCAGCATGTATCGCAATCTAAACTCAACGGGGCCAAGCCCATTGGCCGGGGCTCTTTGGTAGCGAAGGAGGAGACGGAGAAGTCGACAGAGGAGGCGAAGGTCAAGTGCTCACGCTTCCCGCTGCCGCGGTCGGGATGACTACAGATGGGGAAACGGATCTACAAACGGGCGGTCGAGAGCAGACAAGGACAATATTCTGACTGTGACTGCGTTGTGACTGCGTCTACTCCAACCAACACGTTGATTGGCCTCCTATCCGATGGAGGCAGGATGGCAAGTCAGGGACCTACATTTGTTCGCCTCCTTCTGCTCCATCATCATCCTCCTGCGGACAACATAACCATCGCGCGACAAATAAGAGGCCAGCGCTCAAGGGCAACGTAACCTGGTCCAGTCAGCTGCAATGGACGGGGCACTGCCTGGCGGAGCAGTGAAAAGCAGGCTCTGATATCGAGCCAGCCGACTGTGTTGGCCAGGCTATTGGTTGCGCGGCTCTGTGGGTACGCGAGCCGGGGTTGTCGCTGTGCGTCCCGCTGGCGTGTTTCAAGTCAGTGCCTCGAGCGTGGACAAAAGTGTGATCACTGCCTGTCGGGGACTACGGGCGGACCAGGATCTCTGCTGTAACGACACGCAACGGCGGAGAACCCACCACGCCCACCAAAGCCGCGGACGCATGTGCAAACGGCTACCCAGAGCTGCGGTGGAGAAAAGGACGAAGACAAGAGATGAGAAAAAGTGGGCGGCGGAGTTGCGATGGGTCAGGGAGCAAAAGAGATGCAAAACCCAAAAACGAATCGACCACTCAGAGAGCAAAGGGTCACATTGGAGATGGCTGCGATTGCGGGGGATGGGCAACCGATCCGGTGGGATCAGCCCTTTCAAACAGGCTACACGTGACGGCAGCGTGGTGATGCGACGTCGATCTCCCTGCAACGTCGGCTGGCTTGTGGCTTCTGATATGGCACCTCCGTGTAAGAGGTTGATTAAACTGAACAAGCCAAGAGACCCTGCAGCAAGGGACTCGAAAGTTAATTTGGGAGATGGAAGACGGATGGAAGACACGGGGAACCTAGATGAAGGAACGGTCAGCCTGCCATCCATCCCTGACGACGAAGCGAAACGTGCATGGCGGATGAACGAAGTGACGCTGTCGAGTGAGTGGCAGAAACTCAAAACAAGAGGGGCCAGCTTTGCTCTGGCGACGCCCCAAAGACGGACTGAGACCGGCCATGAGAAAGTGAGAACGCTGCATCGGAGGGTGAGCCGGTTCCGCCTCAGAGAAGAGGGACTCTGAAGTCCCGCAGCCCGCAGCCTCGAGCTTCTTGGGGCGGACCACAATCTCGGACGATGCTGCCTCGGCCCCGATCCCGGCCAGTCAAAGAGCAGAGATGCAGGCCTGGTATGTACGTAGGACGCAATGGTTCTCCCAAAGCGGTAATCACTACGACGCCCCGGTTTGCAATAGACGACGGAGCTTTTTCAGCGTCGCGCCAGCGCAGGACCTGGTGATCCCGCCAGAAGAGGAGTTGTTGCTCCTCGTCCGCCATCGACAGTGGGGCCGCGTCCATTTGCCGGGCTCAATTCAGAGCAAGAAGTGCGTAAACATGATTGCGATTGCGACCTTTTGGAGCACCTCATCTGCTCGTCTCCTCGTCCTGTCGAGCCCATTGGAACAACGGTGCTGGCACTGCCACCCACCAATGACGCAAGGCGCTGAGGCCAAAACAAGATGGAGGATGGGGCCGGGGACGGACTGGTCAATGACGTAAGAGGTGTCAGGGATGCTGGGTTCTTTCAGCAAAGCGGAAGGGTTGCCGCCCTGAGTCGGGCCCCAGATGGTGGTGTGTGTGTGTGTGTCTCTCAGCCCTCTGTATCTCTGTGCGCTAGTGTCCCTGTGCGCGCATGTCTTGGAGGAGTACTCCTGGGTCACTTTTGCGCAGTCTGGGTCACTCTTCTCCTCCCGTGAAGATGGTTGCAATTGGTGGTGGTGGTGGTGGTGGTGATGCTGCCGCCCGCCATCTGCAAAAGTTGCGGGAATTTTGTGGTGTGCACTTATGGAAAGAGGGGTCGTCGACAGGGGAGCTCCCTGTAGGCTGTCGCCCCCGCTAAGTTCTCAAGGGGTGCGCGTACGGAGCGCTGGAACAGCTGTGCAAGCCCACTAAAGCTGTCTCGAGGCGCCCTAAAACCTGATCTTCAGGGTCCTCTGGCTTGTCGACGCCAGGACCGAGAATCCAAATGGATGGGATGGAATGGGCTGGCTATCTGGATGAGTACTGTACTTACTGTCAGGATGCAGGTACTTTACCTGACCAGGTCACTAGAAGGCACTGATTGATAGCAGCAGAGTAGCAAGCATCTCCCAATACCTATTTTACTTATGCTCTGCACCCAATACGACGCTGCTCGTCGAGGAGAGAGGGCGCTGCTGGTTGGCTGCATGTCGAGTGATGCAATTGAATATGAAGGCAATAAACTTGCGGCGGCGAAGATATCTCGAGGAAGTACCTACTCAGGTAAGGCACCGAACACAAAGTGCATCCGAATCATGGTTCGTCCCGTGTAGGTACAAGGAATTCGAAGTCAAGTCAGGAAGAGAAGATAACTCGATGCTCGTCGACAGATGGGAAGGTACCTGTTCTCCCCTCCAAAGTTCCCCTTCCCATTCAGAACACTTCCGCCCCTCCCTTCCTTGTAGTCAAAATAATGCCAACGTTGGCTGACGTCAGTGGCGCCGACCCGTTTCCGAGCTTGGTTCGGGCAATCTCACACCCGCCCCTGTCGCTCTTTTCGATCCGGGTTTAGCGCGAGCCCTTTTAGTGCTCCAAGCAGCACCTGCGCTGTTCATGATCTTCGCCTTGCCGTCTTTTCTAAACGCACCCCCTTCCCCTTCCAGCTTGTCCTGGTTGGCTGGCTGCCTCTTTCGACAGGATTCCGAGTGCACATTGAGCCTCGAATGGTCAGCTATGGAACTTTACTGTAGCATTGAGAAACTGCAAATGCGCGTCCCCTCACTCAAGTACTTGTATGCAAGTGAGGTACATGATTCTCTTATCCTTGGACGAGACTGACGATGCCCAGCAATGTGACTGGTGCGTGTGAACATTTGTATTTGCATGAAGACTACATGAGCAAAGAGACCATCTCTGTTGCTACCGTACCTACACAATAACACCACCAGCGGCCAGGAGGAATGGTCGCTCCAAAGTATCCATCCGATATTGGCTCGCTCGACCCGATTTTCCCAAACACAGGCGAATTCGGGCCTTGCCAGCGCTGCAATAGTCGACTCGCCCTCGGCTCTGGCTCCACGGGCTGAGTATGTACATGTGTTTTTGTTTTTTCAACACCCGTGAAAGGCCAAGATAACCCCGGCTCGTCCTCCACAGCCGACGAGACTGGCTCTCTGTTTGCTCCAACCCCGGCACGCTGTGACATCATGGGCCGTTTCAGAATCCCGCCTGCAACCCACAGAGGGGGCCCTCTTTGGGTCGCATGCCTGCTGTCAATATCGGTGATCCAGATAACTACCTAAAGGGGTGTAACGAGAGAACAAGAGCCCCTCTGTACTTGCAGTTACCAGACCAGCCTTCGCGGTCTGTAAAGAGGTACTTATCTACTTGGGCAAGTCTAAGGGGACAGAAAAGGGGGCGTGTTGGACCGATGGTCCTGACACCACAGGACGGCTGCTGATATTGTGGCTTGCGCCGGATTGCAACCCACCCACCCAATCGCCCCGAAAATCATCGTGAGAAAGGACCCTGAGAATGTCATAACGCATTTTAGACCTGCCCGGGTACCTCCAGCTACCTATTCCTGTCCGCATGGGTATTGGGAAATTGCCATGGGTGAAATTCCATCCACCTTATGCCACACTGGAAAAGTCCGCGTGTTTCGGGCCTGATCCATTGCCACTCAGTGCCTTAGGGCACGCCCCCTCCCTAATGCTCTCAAGTCCCCTAATTCTTCAGTGGTGCATGCACCTGGAGCCACGGTGGACCTCCCCATCCGAGTTCTGAAGCTGAACCTTCAGCGGCTTGCCTCCCGTACAGGCCTCTGAAGCACTCATTGAAGCGAGTGTTCAAGTCGTTCCAGTGTTCTGTCCTCGACTGTGCGCAGTGGCCTTAAAGTGCATAACTTCGGACCGGGCTGGGTGGGATTTGCAATTCCAAGCGCCTTTGAATCAGGCACGGACAAGTACCTAGGCATCGATCGGACGGCTGAGTGTTTTGCCATCTGCCATCTGACGCGTAATGTCTCTCTCCTTTGGGGATTGTACCTCCTGCGATGAATGCGCAGCAAGTTGTCGCCGTTCATGCACCAGCCAGCCGGGGCGAACTCTTCTCGGTCACCCCCCGCACCGCACTGCACTGCACTCCATGCGGCCATCCATCCACTTCAACGCCTGTTAGGGGTTGCCATCTCTCCCAGACACACCGCCACTCTGCCCTGCAAGCCCTCAAAGGCGGTGATGCATCTCGCGCAGCAGCAGTGCTACTCTGCGCAATGCAGTACTGCAGCAAATTGCATCATCCCGGAGGACTCGCTCCACGGTCCTTTGACAGACGGCGTGATCCTATCCCTCACCGTTTTTGGAAAACGGTCCATCCTTGCGCAAAAGCATGGAAGCTGACCTGAGCTGTTCCGAAACATCGCACGTCTGCCCACGTTCTATTCATAGAAGCGGCCCCTCCACGTGGAGCTGAAAACAAGCTTAACTGGGCATGTCTTGTTCAATGTTGATAACTCGTCCTCGGCAATACAACGCTTCCATTCTCAGCATCCGACCACATGTTGTAGTCGTTTTGCTATAGATAGATGTGAATGACGTCCGTGAAGCCGAAAAGCTTAGTGATGATATCGGCGGGTTGCATTGTGCCGCAGTCGCGCGTCCCCCCGCCATCTTTTCTATTCATAGGGGAGAGGCTAGGCCGAGCCTGCTGAGAACCCACGCGGCGAGCTGAAGCTTCCTCGGAAAGCTCGCGTCTTGACCAAACGGCTTGCTGGGCAATGCGTTCCTGCTACTGCTGCGTGGTGTGGTGCGGCGCGGTCTGGTGTGGTGTGGTATGCTGGGAGTGTTTCAGGATATGAATAGAAACAGCGCAACATGTGAGATCTGACGCTATGGTATCATGCACGCAGGGTTCAGACGACGGACAAGGAACTACGATGCGCGGGCATCGCGAAACGATGCGTGTGTGAACTCACATGATGCTCTTGGCTACAGCCATCATGGGCGTCGTTCTATCGAGGAGCGAGATCGCGAGGCCCTCAGGACACACCCGGACGTGTATGCTGTGCCAAAAGCTAGACCCAGGATAGATGCAAGCCCTAAATCTCTCGCTCATCACTGTGAGTAGCGTAGCCAGAATCGTCCGAGATTCAGTCCTTGAAATAGAAATGGCTTCGGCTTTGCAGCCTAGCATTTTGAGGAACTCAACGCCGGGGAACTGGTGTACCGAGCCGATTGATGGAGTTGTGCCGCTCTAGGTTGCAAGGAACTCACTTCCGATGCCTCTAGAGATCGGGAGGAACTGTGCAGCAATCAAAATAGCAGACAAGTTTAAAATAGGAAACTTGCTCAACCCTCGTGCTATACTTGTCTGTGAAAAATTGAGAACCTGTGTCCTATTGCGTATCCTGAAAGACGAGGCTAAACAGAAGGCCACTTGTTGTATGTGCGCATCCAAGTATAGATTCTCCCAACACTTTACGGTACAGTCTAAACAGCCCTTACAGAGAAGGGCGCTGTCCATGGGAATGATAGATGTTGAGTTTTCAAACCTTTGAGCGCATAGCTGAGTGAGTGAAGCAGCCAGCGGGATCTTGAGGGACTTGATTTCCCCGGTAATACAAACATCCCTCCGCATGGTGTTGGTTGAAGCATCAAGTCATCGCAGGTTACTCTGTCCTTCCCAAACCAGAGTTGAGGTACCTGAACTCCTGGCTTCATTGTTCTGATATAAATTGACCTCGAGACTAGGAACATCGGATGCAGAGCTACCTTGGGTGAAATAGTCAATGCCACACCTTCAGTTGGAGACTGAATATCAACGTTTTGCAACAAGCTACCAGTTGTTCTCGTATTCTCAAACTGCATCGTGGCCACTCTATCTTGACTGAATTATCATGAATCGCACGCTACTAAAACCCTTACACCCTGGAATATCCCACCCTGGGCACAACCTGCCTGCTGGCTCCGTACAGCCTCGTCCACCGCCCGCGCAAAGATATAGGTCGGATGCTCCGCATGCCAACCCAATTCTCCCAGATTGAACACCTCACGATATACCTTGCCTACTCCGCGGATTGAATCCGGAACTCGTGCCAACTCCGTGTCGCTCGATCCGTGAAGGTCTCGTTCAAGTTCACAGCATTTTTGTTGAAGTCTCTTGATATGTGCCAATGGTTGTCCACCCAGGTGACTGCCTTTATAGATCAGGTATAACACTTCAAGCCCGTGTTGGATAGTACAGGCCAGGAAAGGCGCCTCCTCCAAGAAGAGAGGTCCCGCTGTGCTGTCATCCCACACATCCGACACGTCAAAGGCAATGTGTCTGGCTAGCCTGACAGTGGTAGCCATCTCCTTGCTCCAAAGACAGTCCAGAAGGCGGCTGACTCCACACATCGATTCAGGAGATCTCGATGGTATCGGCTCACTTCCTTCACCAGCAGAGTTAATATTGCCAGATTCAATGTCGCCAGGAGACTCCATACCACTCATTGGGTCAGCTCTCAGACGGAGATGTATCACGTCGAGCCGATTGTCGTATGTGACCCAGCGATCAGGCCCTGGTAAGTAGACGGAATTCACATCCGAATGTTCGACATCATGCATCAACTGTCGGTCTGGCTCAGAACTCTGCAGCTGCACCGCTTTGTTTGCTTCCCAACATGTAGTCCGCAGCTTTTCTTTCCACTTGTATACAGAGAGGTCTGGTTCAAGTGTCGTTGCATCAAAAAACACCGTCGTTTCGTAAATTGCATAACGCTCTTCGTCAACCATTCCGCCGAAAGACGTAAAGGCACTCCGTGCTCGGCCTTTTGCCCCTCTCGATGGAAAGCAGACGTCAAAAGTGTGGATCGACGGCTCCCGAGACGCTTCCTTCCAGATCTGAATCTGCAGCTCTGCTGGGAGGCGTGAGAACGGCGAGAAGCTGGAGGATGATCTCATCACGGTCATACTTGTCAACTGACTGGCGCGAAGTCGCCCAAGTTGCATCATATGACTTTCTTTCCTGTGTTGGGTCTCCATCCAAGGATTATGCGTTCCAGTGGTTGATCTGGAGAGAACTGGACGCATGGTATATCCTCCAAGATCGACAACAGTTCTTTATATGCCATCATGTTTTTCGCCACGTTGAAGTGGAAAGAGGGCTTTTAAACCCGTTTCCCAAGAGCTGAGCGTTCCACTCAGTCGCTCTCAAGTGGGTTTTGAAACGAAGGGCATGACTGTGCTCTGCGCGAGAGATATGGTGTTGCCAAGTATTAGGCGCTTTCTCGGTGCTGACCTGCCTCCGAGATGGCCAATGGACGAGGCTACCTGAACTACGAGGAATCCTACATGGGGCTCTTGATGCTGACATGATACGCTGCGGCGGCCGCAACTGGGTATCTGGGAGTAATTAGCCAGACAAGAAAGAAGTGGGAAAGCGCGTTCAGATGGTATTATCAACAGCAGTTGATGCTATCAGCTTTGCAATGGTCACATGCTGAAGGACGTACCAGGATCGATTCAAAGTTGATTTCCGCCCAATCTTTGGAACAGTTCCTTCATCAGGAAACCGTCGCCTCTGCTGTCTACGAAACCGGGCTGTTCCAGCGCACAGATGGGCTTGAGACATACAGTAGAAAGAGTATGACATGGCCTGGTTCGTTCGGAGGATGAAGTTGACTGAGTTCCATTGCACCTGCCCATGATACTTGAGGGGATGTGGGTGACTCAAGGACTGGCCGTGTCTCCTTGAGGTCAACCCTTTTCTGCACTGAGCCATTCCCTTGTCAAGACGAGCCATTAGGCTCTCGATTTCAGTCGCTGGTCCCTTCCTGAAGTCAAGATCCCTTATCAGTGCTTGCAAGAGCGATGTGGACAAGCAAGAATGATGTTACCGCAAGAACGTGCCTTCTCCTCATCGCAGCTGCAAGATTGATTTCGTCACCGTGATTGAGGGTGTGTGCTTGTTTGTATTTGATATCTCTTCGAGGCAGAAACAAATCGACCAGGCTTCAGTCAGCATCAACGTAAAGCAATATATCATATTTTGTATCTTCAAGCCCTGCCTTTGCCTTCCTTCCGCTCATTCCGCAATGCAGTCAGTCATGCAAAAGACCACAGGGCTTGGGCCCAAGCCAGCACAGCCCGGAGACCTTCATGGCCGTGTGGCCATCATCACTGGCGGTGCCCGGGGCATTGGATTCGAGATCAGCCGCGCCCTCGCCAATGCGGGCTGCAAGGTCATCATGGTCAACCGCAATCAAGATAAGGGAGACCACGCCATTCGAATCATCAAGAAAGAGTCCCCCGATGCTGAAGTTGAGTGGAGAGGTTGTGATATGGGCTATCTGGCCCAGGTCCGTGAGGTGTTCGGCGGCCTAAGAGAAAACCTGCCGCGCCTCGACTTCCTCGTCTGCTCGGCCGGCATCAATGCCGATCAGTTCGGCCTAGACCAGGACGGCATCGACCGCCACTTTGGCGTCAACTACCTGGGGCACTACTACGCGTGCAATCAAATGTGGCCGCTGCTTCGCAAGACTGGCAGGGAGAACGGCAACACGGCGCCACCTCGCGTTGTCTTTGAAGCCAGCGAGATGCACCGCATGGCACCCTCGGCCGTGCATTTTGGGTCGTCGGAGGAGATCAACAATCCGGAGATGGACCCGGCGCAACTGTACGGGCGTACCAAGCTGGCGCTGATCCTCCTGGCCAAATACGGCTTGCGAGACAAGGTGATCAAGCCGAACAGTGACCGAATCTACGCTCTGTCGGTTCACCCCGGGACCGTAAGTCTGGACAGCCCTCTGATGTCGCTAGCCCCATTTTCGTACTGACGGTCTCCTCGCCAGGTCAAGACGGACATGCAGGAGCAGTGGAAGAGTGCCTACCCCGGCGTCACGGGCAAGGTGCTGTCGCGGACCATGCAAGCATTCGGCCGCGCCCCGAAGGAGGGCGCATACAGCGCTTTGTGGGCACTGACATCGCCCAAGATCGAGGAGAAGAACTTGAATGGCTGGTACTTCAAGGACCCAGACAGCCCCGGCAAAGAGTCATCGCAGGCGTCAGATGCGGTCCTCGGCGCGGCTCTGTGGAATCTCAGTGACAGGCTGGTCAAGGAGAAGCTCGGCGAGGATGTGATGCTCGACTGGAACGCGCAGTGAAGTTGGACCGGCCATGAGGATCATGAAGAACCTACCTAGATTGCTATGCATATACGAACCTTGATCCCTCAATAAGTCATTGAGACCTCAATGCTGAACAGGATGCCACCTGCAATGTGCACACCGAGCCACTGTGACCACTGTGACGTGACCACTGTGATGACCCCTAAATTCAGGGCGAGGGTCTAGCGCTTGTAAGAGGGACAACTGTGGGGGCGGGGCAACACCATCGGTTCTGGTACTGCGCTAAACCCTATTGAGCCTCCAACGAAGTCGGTCAAAATTTTTCGAGCTTTTCTGCCGGTCTACCAGCCAAAAAAAAGTTCGTGGGTCCCGCCATTTGCAAAGACGAAGACCGCCTCTTCAATTGCTGCATTCGGTCGCGACGGACGACACCAGGAAAGCCAGGGACGGACCACAGATCGACTTGGGCAGAGATAAGACAATAAGACATAGGCCTTCGGTCCTCGCGACTACAAAACGTGCGCCGCAGCACACTACCGTCCGACAAACGACCCCTCCTCTTCACCGATCGCCTGGCGACGGTCGCGGTCGAACCGACGATTCTCAACTCTGGCAGTCCAATAGCTGCTAGGAACCTTACGAGCCCTTTTCGATTAATACCCCCTCTCTCACACATTCAAGATGAGGTTTGTTAGCGTGCTCTCCGGTCATCCTCTAGAACTTCGCTGACAGCTCCGCTCCTAGGGTTGAGTCCTGTTACGTCTGTTCGCGGTAAGCACTGGACTGCTGCACCTTGACTTTCGTCTACGAACCTCGCCCAAGTGTACTAACTCGCCGAAAGGCCAACATATCCCTCAAAGGGTATTAGCTTCATAAGGAACGATGGAAAAGCATTTCGCTTCTGCCGGTCCAAGTGCCATCGCAATGTAAGTTCTTTGTGCTGCCGACAACAACTCGTCCCCCGAGGATCATGCTGATGAACCTTCCGCGACCACAGTTCAAGATGAAGCGAAACCCCCGCAAGCTCAAGTGGACCAAGGCGCACCGCCAGCACGCCGGCAAGGAGATGACCGTCGACAGCACCCTGCTCTTCGCCGCCCGCCGCAACGTCCCCGTCCGCTACGACCGCGAGCTCATGGCCAAGACGCTGCAGGCCATCAAGCGCGTCAACGAGGTCCGGACCCGCCGCGAGCGCGTCTTCTACAAGAAGCGCATGGCCGGCAAGCGGGAGCGCGAGCTGGCCGCCGCCCGCAAGCTCGTCAGCGAGAACGAGCACCTGCTGCCCCGCCTGCGCGGCAGCGAGAAGCGCATGCTGGCCGAGCGCGCCCGGGAGGAGGGCCTCGACGCCGAGGAGCTCGAGCAGGAGGTGCTGTCGGACAAGATCCGGAGCAGGAAGACCAGGGCGTTCGGCGCCGAGTCCAAGAGGAGTGTCCGGGTGCTCATGGGCGCCGACGGCAGCCTGCAAGAGGAGGTCGTCGAGGAGGCTGGTGTGGGTGGTGGAGACTTCGACGAGGAGGACGACGACGACGTGGAGGACGACGAGATGGATATGGATTAAGGATTCGCGTCTTTTTCAAGTCATTGCATCTGCTGTTTGGGTTTTTGTCTCGGGCATTCATAGATACCAAATTGGGCCACCAAAGGAAAAAGGCCTCGAAAGTGTATTGGCACATTGGGCTCTTTTGGCCTTCTTTTGTGATCACTGCTGTGAAGAACAGCCACTCAGCTAGGACTAAGGCATCACGAGCGTAGCACTGCACAGCCACATGGTATGTCTGCATGACAAGCCTTGGTCTTCAAAGAATGGGCTCTTCCTATCTCTAGCGTGAGGCAGGTCACACTTTGCGGCGACCAAGGAGTGGAGTTGAACTTGACTGTTGAAGGGTCCCAACTAGTTTTCTATCTCTCAACGTGCTTTTTCTATCTTTCTCTATCTTTCTCTATCTTACATGGAAGATTTACTGCTCTAGTCCCGTGATGCCTGTTAGGGTTTTGGACTTCTTTGACTCGATGCTGTTGCAGAGGGTGAGAGACCAAAAGAAGGGATCTTTGATACATCAGGTACTTGACGAAGCAACCAACTTTGAAACTATACACCTTGGCCAGTCGCCCAAAGTCATGTTTAAGTCGTACAGAAGCACTCGGCGTGTGCCGAAGACTGACCTTGGTTCATCTTAGTTCCGCGCTGCATCAGGGTCAACTTCTTTGGTCGCGGTATCAGGATCCTTCTTCTCCTCGACAGGAGCATTCTCCGCCTCCCCCTGAGTGTGATATCCGTATCTCTTCATCGTCTTCTTGTCAAGCTACAAGGGAAGGAACGGTCAGCATTGGAACGGACAACGCAGTCCTGGGCAGAAAAAGAAATGCGACTCACATAGTAAACAGCCCAAATGTAGCCAAACATGACGGCGCAGCAAACGATGAGGGCAATGGAGCCCTTCTTCCAATACGGAGCGTCTGCTGCGCTGTAGAATACGATGCCCCAGAAGGTCCACAGTACCATGGACCCGATGTTCATGGAGTACAGAGTCACGCTGCGGATGGTATCGTCTCCAGTTCTCTGCAGAATGATGTTGGCCCAGCCAAAGATGAGTGGGTTCACCATGTACGCGCTGCCGGCCAGATAGAAGGCAAAGAATGTGCCTGCAAATGACAGGTCGCGCACGAGGAGCATCGCTCCGACAACGATCTGGAGGAGACAGGCGAGAATGGCCATGGGTACTCGCTGTCCCGTAGCGTCCATGTGCCAGGCCGCCAGCATGTTGGCCACGATTCCCACGGCCTGGACGCCAAGGGGATACGTGTTGATGTTGGCTTGGGTGAAGTGCTTGTCATTGTACTTGAGCCACAGGAGGAAGGTGTTTTGCAACGGGAATGCCTCCGTGCTGGCGCAGACTGGCGACCAGAAGAAGAGAATCCAACTATGGGTGCTGATGTTTAGTCCTTGCGAGGATAACAGAGGGGCTTGGGTGCACTCACAACATGGGGGTGAAGAAGACGCGCTTGATCAGTGACAACGGCATGATGTTGTGACTATCTTCGCTGGGTTGTGGCAGCCTAGAGACGGCAAGCTTTCTCTCCTCTTCGCTGAGATAGCTGGCCCTGGTGGTATGGGGGATATCAGGAAAGTAGAGGAAGCCAAAGACGGCGATAGGCAGGGTGATAATGCCATCTGTGCGAGCGAGTGAGGATATATTAGTCTAGGTGATGTGCCTCTGCACAAAAATAAGTAGACGTACCGATTAGGAACACCCACTGCCAGCCTTGCAAGCCGGCCATACCCTTCATGCCCTTGTAGATAGCCGTCATCATGACGCCAGCAAACATGGTTCCGACCTGGCCGGAAGCGGTGAACAGTGCCGTTCGCTTGGAGATCTCTTCCGGCCTGTACCACGAACCGATGATGTAGATCGTGCCGGCATATGTGCTCCCTTCGGTCAGGCCGAGGAAGAACCTGACGACACAGAGCTGAGTCACTGTTTTGACGGCAGCGCTAACCATCTGTTTTGGTTCGACACCAACGATGAGTAACAGTCCAATGTGAACAGGCAGCTTAGGATATATCTCACCGTCAAGCCAGCCCAAACAACTACCATGGAGGGGAACCAAATCCTAGGCGCGATCTTCTGGATGATGATACCATGCGGTAACTGCCCGATAGCCATTCTACGGACCGCATTAGCATGGTCAAGAATGAATGCTCGGGGCTTGGGGTTGGTACCCAGCGGTAGTGAGCGATAGCACATTGTTGTAGTCATGGCCGGTCATATTCAGGGCCTCGCGGAGACCAGCAACCTGGAAGGGTCAGGCAAGGAACCACGGAATACAACGGGCAAAGGCTTACGTAGGCATTCGCAAAAGCGGCGCGGTCTGATGATTGTCAGTCGACTTGATCTGACGGAAGAAGCTGCCCAGGCTTTCAAAGGCACTGGGAGGCAGGCAACCCGACATACCGAGGAAATTGAAGAAGTAGCTTAGACAGCAATAAGTCTAGATCTACTATCAGTATATGTTTCTTCCTCAAAGCCATCGCCGTATTCTGTTCTAGGTTTTGGATCGTAGCAAGGAGCCTGCATACCAAAATGAAGAAATCTAAGCAACTGCAGCGTCAGCATTTCGATGAACAGGTGTAAACACCGCCTCACTGCATCTCTCATACCTAGCTTTCTCACAAGCCGCCTCTCATCTTTTGATTCCGCGGCGCGTCCCAGAAAGAACCCTCGGACCTTGGTCCCGAAGGAGTCGGCTTGCGAACTCATTGTGCAACCCGAATGAAGAAAGTCGGCGTGTCCTGGAGAATGCTGTCTCAACTAGACGAGGCCAGACGACGAATGGGTCGAAGATGAGAAATTGAGGAAAGCACACAAAAGTTTCGCAGGGGGGTCGCAGGAGGTCATTCTAAAATTTTATCAGATTGATCGATTTGATACCGGTTATCAGATCCTTTCATATCTCCACTCTTGGCATTGCCGATGCTAGGTGCCTTACACTAGTTCTCGCGGCTACGATACTTAATTGGTCAAAAACGGGTTCCAGTCCGGGCCATTTGTACAGAGTAGGAATGGGAGAATAGCATCGTCTACTTGGCACGCGCGGTAGTTGAACACACGTGGTCCCATCCAGTCCCGTCTCGGGGTAGGCATGGCAGAAAAGCCCTACGAGGAGAGTTTTTCCGTCAATTGCACCCTTTGCCGACCCTGCCCAGGCCCCTGTGTGGATTGCAGGCGGCCAGGCCGAGAGAGCTTATTGATCTCTAGAGTTTAAGTCAGTCGGCAATTGACCCGGGAGGCTGACGCTGACACATCCTAAACCCGACTCTCGGGCTCCACGATAACCACCTTTGTCATGAAGAAATGGCCAGATTGACCAGGCTAGAATCGACTAGTATTTGAAGTCATTGGCTCTTCTCTGTATTATTGAGCGATTCGCAAAGTCCGTCGCTCCCGCAATTGAACGCACGTGGCCCCTCTGGTGCCGTGTCGAGGTTAACTTGCTCACTGAGATCGTACGACTGGAGTTTTCTTTCCGAGATGTCTTTTTGCTTGAGCTTGACTCTGTGTACCTGGATGGTATCATCTCACATGGTGCAATAACACAGTGAAGATAAGCGTTTAGGGACATCTGCGACACAGGAGTCTACAGGGGTTGTCTTACAAAAGAGGACAATAGGTCTTGTTCCGGTACTGGAATATAAGGTCTCTTTGCTCCAGAGGTAGTGCTATTACACTTTTGACCCTCCGGCACTTGAGGAATGCCACACACACCAATGTAGAATCCCTGTCAAGGCATGGAGCTGCGGCGGGTGACAGCCAGAAACATTTGCCTTCTTGCAGCACTTCTGTCTTGTGATAGGCCGCCTCATCTGATAAATGCATGTAATCTTGTCCACTCGCTCAAGTTAGGCATGCACCTAACCCCCCATTCCTGCCCAACGCACCTCTCAATTGACGCGGCTCATGCTCTTGTGCCCTTAAAACACCCATCTCTGCTTGGCAAAGGAAATGAAGGACTCGAAGTGCCCTCAGAATTTGAGTCAAATCGACCCTGTGGCTCATGTGAACCGGGCCCACGACGGCAATCGACACGGAATCGAAGCACCATCCACAGCCTCACAGTCTGAGCACTCAATTTGGCCATGGACACATTCATACCGTCATGCGGGTGTTGCACGCCAGACCCTTATTTCGCATTTGGTGACAATCAATGCACCTGTAATGGATGTGGTGGAATGCTCGAGTTGCCATCTGGAGATGTTCTCGACTCTCATACCATTTCGACCCTCGAGTCTACAAATGTGAAGCGGTTCGAACTCAACCTGACCTGGCCGAGGCTTGTACCGTACTCCGAAAGAGTCCGCGGATTTGGGCACTTGAATGGAATCATTGATGATATGCTACGCAGCAGACGAGTTGGTGGCACGCCAGTCTGCCTCCCAGCGGCGGCTCCAACACACATTGAAAGAACTTCGCAGGAGCAGCATGCCAGGCCTAAATGGGTCCCGAAAGAGTACTTATATTCGGAACTCCGAGGCATTTACGATCCTAAAGATAACCCCGATAAACTCGCACATGTCGAGTTCCGAATTTTAGAACTATCCAAAGGCAACCGAGAAGATCCTCTTCACGGTAGTTTGAAGACAGTGACGATCGAGGATAGAATCGACTATGTAGCTTTATCATATACCTGGGCCGACAAAACTGGAGACTCTACGCGACGGAGGCCACTCTTCCTTGGTCCTGAGTGCCAGAGATTGTTCATGACAGTGAACTGTGAGGCTGCTCTTCGATGTCTTCGATATCCCGACCAGCCCCGATCCCTCTGGATCGACGCGATCTGCATTAATCAGAAAAGCGAGGATGATAAAAAGGCCCAGATTCTTATCATGAATTATATCTACTCTAAGGCGTCCTCGGTTCTGGTCTTCCTTGATGATAGCTCAGACCCTGTGCACCACATTCTGAGGAACATCAAAGCAAACAAAGATCCTACTATTAAGGAGTATCCCACTGAGGAAGACCAGATGCAGATGCAAGCCTTGTTTTCCATACCATAATTTCACCGTGTCTGGGTACTACATTTCGGTCTATACTCCACGCATCAAGTTGCAGTGGAAGAGCTTCCGACTCAATAAGGACACTCCTCACAAGTGTCCTATAGTGCCTTCAAGCCTGTGGCAATGCCGAGCTGTTCAGAATCGTTCCACCTTTCATTTGGCTGGGTGGCTACTAAGTGGAATGAATCTTCACGCCTCAAGACCCGAGGACAAGGTTTTTGCATTCTTTGGCATCGTCGCAGGCCTTCCACTGCTGGGTCTAGTCGCTGACTATAGGCTTGCATTGGAGCAGGTTTACACCGGAATTGCGTCATTCTTGATACTAAACCAACACTGTTTCGAAGAAGTGCTTCGTCATGCCAATTGCTGCGACTTGGCTGTTTCCGGATTGCCCATCGACCTGCCCTCGTGGGTCCCTGATTTTCGATCGGACCCAACTACCACCAGAAGAAATATGAGAGCCTCTTCGACCAAGATCACGCTTCGGAATACCAATTCCAGATGTGTTGAAATACTCAAACAAACAGGCACGCTTATGATCTATGGATTCAAATTAGCAATAGAAGATAAGCCTGGACAAAATCGTAACGAACATCGAATCCTGGAGAAGATACCCGCAGCGAGAAACACCTTTTTCAAAAGTGGCATGTTCCGAATCGACTTTAAACGCACGTTCAACTGGACTACGGACTTCGTTTTTATCCCAGTCATAGAAGAGGACGAGAACTCAACTCCAGCTCTTCATCTTCGGAGCTTGAAGAAGGATGCGTGCTGCTATTTTCTTGGACATTGCAGCGTCACCGTCGTCGCTGAGGAAGACTTTGGGCGGGGACGACCAGAAGAAGAACGACGAGAAATCTTGCTGTCATTCCCGAATCGGCGTTTAGGGCGCAGCTTGTACAAACTGACAGAAACAAAGTTTAGGCATCTTCTTCTGCTACATTCCCTATACGAGTATATCAAAGATGAAGGGCGAGAAGCTAGGCAACAATCAGCCGTCGATGAGTTCACCTATGAGGACTATCGGGACTTTTTCTTGGGCGGTTCTACGCCAGACGTTTTTACGATTTCTTCCCAGAAGAAAAGTCTAGACCAATTCTTTGTATACTGGGAGTCAGATACCAAATTCTGGTCCCAAATCGAGATCTTCGTCAATTATCTAACTCTCTTCGACGCAAATCGGTCAGAATACGCCTGCAAATGGCGCATATGGATACAAGAGAAGCAAGTCGCTCGGTACCACGTGCAAGCGCTGTTACGCTCGCTTTTCGTGATATCCGGAATAAAAAACCAAGCGCTTGATGGAGCATATCCGATAGAGGATTTAGTGAATGACGCTATTGAAGGGATTTGCTCTTGGCAAAAAGCATTTAAGGAGATGAGCAATGCGATTCCAGCATTTCGAATACCGTTCCCAAACGTGGTAGGAAACCCTTATCTATTCGCTAAGGAATGCTGGTCCTTTCATGAGGGTTTCTTTCGCGATCTCAAAAATCTTCTTGGGCCTGATATTGGCAGAGTAATGGAGCTTTGTTACCAGCCAGGAGCAATAATGGAGCGAGTAGCGGATGTGTTGATGGGAGACTGGGCCGCCATCGAGAGAACGCTGTGGGCCATCCTGATTGTTCTCGAAGGGAATTGGGATGAAAAGAATGCACTAAGAGACTCGCAGGAGATCAGACGTAGATTGATCATCGGGAGTCATTGGAACTCTCACAGTGGAATCACTTTAGGGGAAGAGGAGGCTGTTTTTATCGTGTGACCCTGCATTCTCTCTCCTCATAGACGAAACGACAGACATATTCTAAGCCTCTCGTGTTTAAGGTTCCAAAGCACAATTGACCGCTATGCTGTCACGGTCATTGCATGAGCTGGAAGGGAACAGATGGTGTTCAATCCCACTATTTCCCGCTATGGGAACCGGTACGATGCGGATAGCGACATCCAACAAGCTATCTCAAGTGATGGCATAGTGCCAGAGACGAACCTTGCTGACGCCTTTGGGAGGGGTCTGATTGCAGTTGATGTCAACCTCTCGAAGACCAAACTCACGGCACAAGCACAGTTGTATCCAAGGAAGTCGAGGTAGACGGAATGATCCACTGGTTTCGAAACAGGGAACGGGCGAGCAGATATCGGGGACATGGGTCTAGGGCATAGAGTTTGCGCGTTAGCCACGGCGCTCACCAATCGGGACCTACCGAGGCCAGGGCATGGTCGATAAGAAGCTCACTCAGCTTGCATGTTGAAGACCCTTCGTCGGTCGCGGAGGAGATGCTGTGGAAGCCCTCGGCGACTTCAAAGGAGCTGTCGTGCAGACTTTGGAGGTATGTTCGGACGAGCCCACGTCGGTAATGGGTTTCGCATCATCAACGTCGCCCAATTTATTGAACGGACATCGCTAATCAGTTCACTTCTCCACAGTCACTCCACACGGACCAGCGCCAAGTGGGCCGAATTGCGACGAAGCCTCGAAGCCCTGATCGATCTGCCGAGTGGGCAGCCTGCTATCGACATAGGGCGGATCGCAGCCTCAATGCAACGAGACCTGGAATGAGATAGAGCCTTCGGTACCGGGTTTGACTCATGGCAGTATATCTGTGACGATAGAGAGATCTGCCGTTGGATGGCATTGAATTCCATCACATATGACCTGTTGTGATATGCCTTTTTTTGTGTTCGAATAAGCCAATGCCCCTGAAAGCCGGAATCACACCTCCACTGTTGATCATGCAGCAATGTTGTAGATGTGGAGGTTTGCAGGTATGGGATTTTTCAGGGGGGGATGATGTTATCTTCAAGGGCTCATATGGTGATCATTGTGATGGCCTTTCAAGCGAATAGAAGTCGACAAACCTTATCAGACAGCACGCGTCTAAACCGAGTAGCGCCATGACCAATAATAGAAGCACTCTCTGCTCCGACGTCGCCCCGACGGGAGCGAGCTTCTGGTGTTTTCCTCGGAGCTGCAGTCGGCTGACATGGAGAGGGACGGGATTGGCCCTTCGAGCACCTTCTCTCAAGTCGCAAATACAATGGCGCTAGTAGACCGCGACAAAACATGGGCCGGGTTGGTACAGCAAATTCTCGTATATGTACGCGCGTACGATTGCTAGCCGCCCACATATGACTCGGTAGAACCGGCAGCGTCGGAACTGCCGTTGACCTCCCCGCGCCCCTCCGTCTTTGGTCAATCTGCTCTCCATGGGTATGCCGTATGGGTCATCAAGCGTCTCTTGATTATTGCCGGCCGGGGGCTGTACAACGCAGCACAGGGGTGGAAATCTCGGGAGAAGCGCCTCATAGCGGCTTGGCATAGGGATAGTTGTTGAGTCTATTCGTCAACTCGACACAACTCCATAAGGGAACCCGATTATAAGGCTGCGAGGAATCACCACGATATGCGCCCTTGGTCGCAGGCCACAGAATCTGGAGCTGTTGGAGCTGGCATTATGTCTTCGTGGTTATTCCCGCTTAGGGATGACGTTACCCCTCGCTCTCCAAAAAATGGCGCTCCCATTCACTACCTACGCTTGCGGCCCTGCCCACCGCGCGTCCGGATAAGTCGGCTGTTGTGAGAAGCTGGAGCTAGAGGTCAAAGACAGCGCGGGGGCTCGTGCTGGAAAGGAAATGCCTCATCAATTACTGGTCGGTACTTCTGTACCGCACCCTGTTCCTCGCGAAGAGCGAAGTCGCGTTGGGGCCGACGACCGAACTCAGCTCGAGTGCCGCACAAATCAATAAATACCAACGGATAGCACCAAAGTAATTCCTGGCGTGCTCTGGCGCTGAACTTTGTGTCTTTTTTTCTTCAGGTTGCTTTCGCATATGACGTCAGTGTATGTATCGTGAACTTCAGCACAAAAGTTCATCGCCATGCCGCTGTTCAACCGAAACAACACTACCCCCGCGGGGGATGATGTCGAAGCGAATAACTCGACCGGGGATCATTCGGGTAGCACCGTCGCCGAGGATACCGATCACCTTGGCGAATATGTTGCCCTAGACCGGTACATCAGTACCTATCGCGACGAGAAGTCGCGAAAGGAAGATGATGGGGATGCCGAAGGCAAGCATCATTCCAAGAGGCGGTGGTGGCAGTTCTGGACGAGCGCTGGACAGCCCACAGATCAAAGCGGTAGACCCGACAAGACTATTCCCGAGTCTTGGCTTGAGACGGACATTCGCATAGGCCTCAGCTCGTCCGACGTGGAAGAGCGAAGGAAGCGTTCGGGCTGGAACGAGCTGACCGCGGAGAAGGAGAATCTGTTTGCCAAATTCTTGGGGTTCTTCACCGGCCCTATTTTGTATGGTAAGTCGATTCGTCTTTCAATGCGAGTCTCAATTTCCAGTCGATCCTAACTTGAGGCAGTCATGGAAATCGCTGCACTTCTCGCTGTCGGGTTGGGAGATTGGATCGACTTCGGTGTCATCTTGGGCATCCTACTTCTCAACGCGTTTGTGGGCTTTTATCAAGAAAAGCAAGCTGCCGATGTCGTTGCTAGTCTTAAGGGAGACATTGCGATGCGTTGCACGGTGGTGCGAGATGGACGCGAACACAACATCCTGGCAAGAGAGCTCGTTCCTGGAGACATCGTAAGTCGGACTCGATTCCATGCCCAGACTTGAACACCTCCACTAAATCGCCACAAGGTCATCATCCAAGAAGGAGATACGGTGCCTGCTGATGCCCGCCTTATCTGTGACTACAAACGCCGGGAGGACTTTGAGGTATACAAGCGGCTACGCGCTGAGGATAGGCTCGGGGAGAATAGCCAAGATGAAGACGACATGGAGGGCGATGAACACCATGGTCACGCGGAACCCGTCATGGACTACCGAACCAGTTCCATCCTTGCCGTTGACCAATCTGCCATCACCGGCGAGTCGCTCGCCGTAGACAAGTACCTTGGCGATATCGTCTACTACACCACAGGATGTAAGCGGGGCAAGTCGTTCGCCATCGCCACCGCGACCGGAACAGACACTTTTGTTGGCCGCACGGCAGAGCTCGTCCAGGGCGCCCAGGACCAGGGTCACTTCAAGGCGGTCATGAACAACATCGGCATGTCGTTGCTGATCTTGGTCATGTTCTGGATCCTGGCCGCCTGGATTGGCGGGTTCTACCACCACATCCCCATTGCTGAGCCAGGGTCGCAGAACCTGCTGCACTACGCCCTTGTCCTTCTCATCATCGGAGTGCCAGTCGGTCTCCCCGTTGTCACCACCACTACCCTCGCTGTTGGCGCCGCCTACCTCGCCAAGCAGAAGGCCATTGTGCAAAAGCTCACCGCGATCGAGTCGCTTGCCGTAAGTACAAAAGCTACTGCGTACTTGGAGCTCAGGGAACTAACTAAGAGACACAGGGCGTCGATATCTTGTGTTCTGATAAGACAGGAACGTTGACAGCCAACAAGCTCTCCATCCGTGAGCCATTTGTGTCCGAGGGTCAAGATGTAGATTGGATGATGGCAGTCGCTGCCTTGGCTTCCTCGCACAACGTCAAGTCGCTGGATCCTATCGACAAGGTCACCATCCTCACGCTAAAGCGGTATCCAGGGGCTCGTGAAATCCTGCAGAAAGGTTGGGTCACTGAGAAATTCACCCCCTTCGACCCGGTCTCCAAGCGCATCACCGCTGAGTGCCGCCTGGGTGAGGACCGCTACATCTGTGCCAAGGGAGCGCCGCGGGCCATCTTGAAGCTCTCCGATTGCTCAGAGGAGATCGGAAACCTGTACAGAGAAAAGGCTCAAGAGTTTGCCCGCCGTGGCTTCCGGTCTTTGGGTGTCGCGTACAAGAAGAACGACGGCGACTGGATCTTGCTCGGCCTGCTCTCCATGTTCGACCCTCCGCGTGAGGACACGGCGCAGACCATCATCGAGGCGGCGTCCCTAGGTGTGCCGGTTAAGATGCTTACCGGAGACGCCATCGCCATCGCCAAGGAGACCTGCAAGATGCTGTCCCTCGGCACCAAGGTGTACAATTCGGAGAGGCTGATTCACGGCGGCCTGGCCGGAACCGTGCAGCACGACTTTGTGGAGCGCGCCGACGGCTTTGCTGAGGTGTTTCCCGAGCACAAGTACACCGTCGTCGAGATGCTGCAGCAGCGCGGCCACCTCATCGCCATGACGGGCGACGGTGTCAACGACGCCCCCTCGCTCAAGAAGGCCGACTGTGGTATCGCCGTCGAGGGCTCCTCCGAAGCCGCGCAGGCTGCTGCGGACATTGTCTTCCTTGCGCCCGGGCTGAGCACCATCGTCCTTGCCATCAAGACCTCGCGGCAGATCTTCCAGCGCATGAAGGCCTACATCCAATACCGTATCGCCCTCTGCCTGCACCTCGAGATCTACCTGACGCTGTCCATGATCATCATCAACGAGACTGTCACCACAGATTTGATCGTCTTCCTTGCCCTGTTTGCTGATCTGGCCACGGTGGCCGTCGCCTACGACAACGCCCACTGGGAGCCCCGGCCCGTCGAGTGGCAGCTGCCCAAGATCTGGGTGGTGAGCATCGTCCTGGGAATCCTCCTCGCTGCGGGCACGTGGATCATGCGCGGCACCATGTTTCTTACCGACGGTGGTATCGTGGCGAACTTTGGCTCTGTCCAAGAAGTCCTGTTCCTCGAGATCGCTCTCACGGAGAACTGGCTCATCTTCGTGACGCGTGGCGGCAAGACATGGCCCTCTTGGCAGCTTGTCGGAGCTATCCTTGGCGTGGATGTGCTTGCCACCCTCTTCTGCCTCTTCGGCTGGCTGTCCGGGGCTCCGGAAATTGACTCTCTTGGAGACTCATGGCCGCAGCGCGGGGATGGATGGACCGATATCGTCACGGTTGTGATCATCTGGCTCTACTCTTTCGGCGTCACCGTGTTCATTGCCATCATCTATTACATCCTCAACAAGGTGTCCTGGCTGAACGACCTCGGCCGGAAGGATCGTAAGAAGAAGGACACCATTATTGAGAATGTCATTGGTCAACTGCAAAAGATTGCTGTCGAGCATGACATTGACGAGGCCACGGGCAAGGACAGATATGTCTTGGCCGAGAAGGTGGCGGACGAGGAGGACATCTAGATGTTACGCTTGTCCTTGTGCTTAAATGCCTCTGTATCGTCCGCCTTCGTCAGTTCGATAACCTCTGCCTCTTCTTACTTCTTCCTGTCTTGATTGGTCTTTGAAGTCTGATCATACTTAAGTACACACAAATTCTTTAATTTGCTATCAATACTTCAACAATAGAGCTGTATAAAATATTCCAGGGGGAGATTATTCAATTTCTTTGAGGAGCAAAATCTTTCTGCCCTTGATTCAAGGTTTGCAAGTACCTGGGAAAGCATCGCCGGTCGGCACTGGCCAATGTCTCGGCAGGGAGGCTCCTGCAGCCTGAGCACAATGGTCCTCATCACGGTTTTGCGAGACACTTCTACGACAGGGACCCTGTGCATGGTGAGCATCTAGTAACAGAAATACTGGACTTCCCGGGCCGATGGCTATGTTAGTTCTGGAATACATGTGCCATGGTCGGCACTGCGCATTCCTGATTGCTCCAGCCACTGACGGCGGCCCACTTCACGACGGCCAATCAGCACCACATAGGTGGGCCTTGAGAAGTCACCTCGTGACGACTGTCATGTAACTCCCTCTTCCCCTCTAGGTATATAAGTCTTCTTAAATACACCGTCGCCCCTCGTCAATTCTCGGACTCTTTCTCTCTACTTCCCTACCTCCTTTCTTCTCCTCACATCAATGATCGTGTCTTCACCAATAGCAAAAATGCCGCAGATATTGGGCCTGTTGGTGGTGCCCACACCCTTCCAGCTTAGGCGGGCAATGTCATGACGCAGACTCATAATTCCATGGCTGGCGCCGGCGAGAGGTGTTGGCAAATGTCCATACAGTTTCTGTTAGCAGCCGGACGGGCAGACTGGACTCTGTCTCGGTTGTTGTGTCTCCGGCGCTGTGTCCTCTCGCAATGATACCACCATGAGTTGGCCTGGCCTTTTCCTTGGCTTTCCTTTTGCTGTGGCGCCATGAAGAGGATTGGACGGAAGCGATCAAGGAGTGGCGAGCACTAAGATCACTATGTGAGTTATTGGTGCCAGTGAAGGATTTCTAATTATAGCCCTGGCCGGATCCAGACTGCCAAAAGACAGTTCTAGATGGCGAAAAGGCTCGTCGACTAGGGCGTGCTGGCTGATGATGATGCCACTTCTCAGAGATTATCACAGATAGGCCACATCAGAGAACGATGAAGCCGTCCTCCCTCCTGGCCTCGGCCTTGTACTCTCAACCTGATCCTCCCCTCGTCTCGCCTTCCTCACTTTACCTTTCGCCCTCACCAACACCCCACCCCCCAGCACCTGCTGGCCGTCCTCTCCCTCATCGCGTGAGACAGGCAGAGAGACAATCTGACTGACAGAGCCGCCCAAGCTCTGCTCCCAACCGCGCTCTGTGGCTCCTGCCACAGGCCTCTCGATCGCCTTCCCCTCGCAACCTACGTCCCTAGGTCATAGAGTTGTGTCGCGCGGCGTTTGACTCCTGCCATTCGCACCCTCCGACCCTCGTCGTCATCGCAATCACGACTGGCTAGCTTACTCGGCTGTCAACTCGAACTCGTCCCCCCGTGTCCTTGAGCGCCAAGCAGCTACTGTCATTCTCGGCGCGTCATCTCGGGCTGGCCATTCTCCCCGCCACCCCGCCCGTCTTGCCCTCCCTGCGCGACCCTCCCTCTCACCTCCCCAACCAGTCACAAAAATGCCGCAACAATGCTGCAGCATGCCGTGGGTGGCTCTTGCATCAATGTGGAGGGTTCAGGAGGCCTCTTTGACTCGCGCGCATGTCTGCTCGACACCGAGTTCCCGATTAGGCACTCTGGTCGTGCTCGGACCGATCCCAAGTGCAAGCTGTGCCAGGGGCACGCATGGGAGGGTGATGCGGAAGAGGTGGCGGCCGCCAATTAGACGACCGCATAGCCCCATGATCCATGTAGCAGTGCAGGCAACAGGCTACGCCCGCGTCTCGCGAAAGGGTGATCAACTCGGCTTTGCCTTGGTTGCTTAGGCAGGCACGAAAACGAGAGGAGAACAGGAGTGTGTTCGTACCGCGCGTGAGCGGGATATCGCTCTGCCATTGGCCCTGTCGGGGTCGGCGTGACCAAGGATAGGGGCGAGACCATGCGGATGCTGACGACGCGGCCCTGTATCACATCAGCTAAGCCGCCTTGGGCGATCTCCGGAAGCGCCGTGCCTCCGTGGCATAGATCCAGGCATATGATTTGCAGTGACGATGACGATGGCCTGCGGAGACAGCCCTCAGATGTCTCCTTTCCGTTTCGGCAGTTGTGCGATTGGTAGAGGTACAAGGAGTCGGTGCCTTTGTTGCCCCGATTTCAGGACCCTGGGGAGATGGAGAGGCCAAGCCCGCTTGTCGCCCACGATGGAGAGAATGGGCGGGCGATGACACTGAGAGCACTTAAACCTCGCTTTTCCCCTATGTTGGAGATGGGAAACGCTCAGCTTCATGCTCTATACGAACTACTTCTCGGGATCCTACAATCCTGGTTCCTATTGTCTGACTGTCTGACGCCCAGAACAGGATGACAGATATCTCGCTTAAATACCTGACCTTCTCCCACCCCTCTCCGTCGGGCATAGGTGAAGAGCCGACAGGCAGGGACCCTTCGCCCCAGCATAGGTGGTTCCCAGCCCTACCATCTGGAGGTCGAGATACGCCTCCGCCCGATGCATCCATTACTCCAACCGGTTCTATGGGGTTCTCCACCCCTTCTGTAATCGTGATCCCAAGCGACAGCGAGTCTGATTACTTATCCGACTCACCCTTCCCATCGATTGCCGAGCTCCTTGCCAGCTACGGTGGGGCTAACAGCATCGCCTGTACGAGTATGTAGCCTGGCTCTCATCGTCCTAGTGGGTCACAATGCTGACGATTTTGAGCAGGCAAGAGCTTGGATACTGTGACCTGTAGGGATGGTGATTCGAAGGAACCGCAAGATGACACTGTCACTGCGGACGCGGGCTCAGATGGCAAAAAATATGAGCCGCCGGTGTCGCCCCAAGGAAACCCGGCCCTGACTCACGAGGCTGACGAGGCTGCGGGGGTTTTAACGGCTGAAGCCGAGAGGAGAGAGCTAAACCAAGCTGCTCCACCGGGTTACGGACAAGAGCCCAGTGCAAGGAATCTCTTCACTTCCACACCGTTCTCGTCACCAAAGCGGAACACACCTCCACCCATGCTCTTACAAGCTGATCTACCGGCTTGTCCATCTCTATCCAACGGTGAAAAAGCTCCTCTCAGAGCTAGGACGGCTCGAAGCAGCGATTCTACATCCAACGGAAGGGCTCTAGGCATACCAGACCCCCCGCCTGACGAAGATGTGGCCGGCCTTTCTCCGTCCGGAACTTCACAGGATCCTCAGCCGCCAGCACATGCAGCACCTCTCGACCTCGAGAAGCAGCTGGAAGAGTGGGATAAGAAGCATCCATACTTATCACACTTATCACCAACTTTCAAGCGCCGTCTACAAGCTCGCGAACCTCGCCCCCGGCTCAGCCGGCAGGGGCCGTGCAGCCCACAGCATTCTCCAGTCTCGCCTTCAGCATCAGGGCGGGGACTATCTGGGCCGTCAAGCTCTGCACAGCAAGATGAGCTGCCCCCCCCAGACAGCCCTCAGAGCGAGACGTGGCAGATATCTCCCGGTAATAGCACCTGCGACAAGGCCACCTCAAATAGATCCCGCGTGGCCGTACTGGGAGCGCGGGGTTCGAAGAGCCCCTGCCACCGTGCATCTACTCCGCGGCCGTGGGGGTGTGCCTCCCGAGAGAGGATGCCATGCCGTGCCTCAATGGCTAGCGCGGGCGATCGTGACGAAGCTGATGAGGCCGTGCCACCCCTGCCCAGGGCGAAGAGGGGGCGCGTAGGGGCTTCCATTCACCGTCACCGCCACCCTCCCGTCAACGTCCCTGATTCAAATGGCAATAATTCCTGGGATGCAGCTGAACAGTATTCCGATGAAGACGAAGTTTTACAAGCTATCCCTCGTAAACGCCACAGAGCTAGTGCGAGGTCTCGGGGCGACGACGATAAGGAGAGTTACAGCCCTTCTCACTATAGCGATGACAAGCAGGAGAAGAAACAGGTGGTGATTGTCATAGATGACACGGATAAGGAAGGCTGATAGGAACATATCTCAGAATATGGGTTATGGGATACAATAAGGTTTCACAGCTTTAAAGAAGGGTACAGGTTAGTTGGTTGTGCCTAGAGCTTCTATGCTTAGATCTGGCGTTCTCTTAACAAGTAGGATAGAAATATCACTGCTGGTATAAGTGTGATACTGTAAGGTGGTTCTCTCCATCTGGACGCCCCGGTGCGTCCCCGCCACTGCCGTGCTGCTGCCCCCGCTCCCATAGCTGCCGCTTCTCCCGTAGCCTCTACTGCCGCCCTGCCGGCCCTTCGGCTCTGGCTGCTTCCCCGGCTCCGGCAGCTGTTTCAAGAGCGTCGGCTGCTTCTTCTCGGGCTTTGGCCACTGTTTCCTTGCCTCTGGCTATCGCTATCTCCCCACCCTAGGCGCTACGCCTTGCTCCGGCCGCCGCTCCTTCTCCCGCTCTGGCCGCTGCTGCGTTTTCGGTACCTGTCGCCGTCCCTTCGGCTCCGGCCCCTTAAGAGGACGAGGACAAGCAGGAGGATGACGGCGGCGGAGGCCCCGACAATGATCCGCTCTTCTAATAGCCTCTGCATACCGAGATTATCTGTCGACTCATCCTGGTGTGTTGCACTAATCTGACTTGGCAGACGATTTATGTTCCAATCCTGGTAAACTCGGGCTCTGATGTCGAACCCGGCCCCATCACCATAGAGCTATTCTCTCTCTACAGTGCCCGTGCCATGTGTGTGGCATCCTTTGTTTAGGCCTCCGAGTGTCGATATCTAGGGTATATGACCTAGTAGATTTAACTATACTGGTAACCTGATTTTATTCAGCCTATATTCTAGCCCTCAGTTGGCCAGGTCATTATGACTATGACACGTCTTGACTTCTCATACTGACAGCCGTATCATCTATAACTACAGCCTGGCTGCAGTGCACTCACACACATCACGCGGTATACCACCCGCACCAATATCGTCAGAGGGATTCTGCCCGCCAACTATATAAAGCTCTTCCCTCTCTGTCTGCCCTCTTTTCACTTCTCATTCCCTTATTTTCCTCCTTATTCTCCCTTTTTCAGACATCGGCAGTCCCGGCCTCTAGTCAAGATTTATAGCCTATATAATGACAGACTACTCTTGCTATTGTGTCCGGGCTCAGGGATTCCTCAAACGCTTGATCAATCTCATCACTGCTTGGCAGGACGACCTACACCATCTAGGGGCATCTAAGCGCCTAGATAATTATAGAGTTAGAGGTGTCAATTAAGCTTGATTCTGATTAAAAGGAGACAGTGTCATTTAAGTGTTGGAGTGCTTGAATAGAGTCTTAGATTGATCAGCCAGTTAAATCTGTTGTTTGACTAGGTAAGTTGATGCTTTTATATAAGAGTTGACGATGTTTTAGGTTTGTTTTGCTAGGTGCTTTCCCTCCTTATTCTCACTATAAACTGTCTAATAGACTCACTTAGCACCCTCATCTGCTGATTCTTTTGATCTGTTCTGACGTTGTAACTGTACCTACTCTAGGGGTTCTCTGTAGGAACCATCACGTAGTTGCCAAGCTCTTTAAGTCCCCAAGCTATTCTAACTCTGACATCTAAAACACTCCCTTCTTAACTAAATACATCTTTATTTCAACACTTCCAAGAGAAAGTCAATTCTCATTTACCAAAATGCAACTCTTCAGTCTGCTGCCTCCATAGCGGTAAGACAGAGTGTGGCATAGCTGGCAATTTAAACCTATGGTCATAATGGCGATTTTCGGTCGATAAGGCACTTCTATCTGGAGAGCATAGAACTCTTTGATCAGGATCAACATATGTATTGCCCTGCTGGCCATAAGTGGAGAGGGCTATATGATTTGGTAGCTCATAAAGACGCCTAGAGCGGTCAATGCCGTCGGGAGGCCCGCTTGGTTCTGCTTGAATGACTGATTCTTCAGGTGGAAACGGCCAATATTGTAGTGGTTGCTGGAAGAAGTGACGCGGTGAGGGAATCACTATATGTTCTGCTAATGAAGGCTGTTGTTGTACAGTCTCATGCATTTTGCTATGCTCGTGATGTGCTTCACGACTGCTGTGGACGTGTCGACCGCACATGAGTATTGAAATGACCAGGACGCCAAGCAATGCCACACCACCAATGGCAATTGCAATGATGGCCACTATAGAGACGTTATCTGAAGACATAATGCTTTTCAGCTTTAAATTATAGTGGGCAAAAGTGATCTGGAGAAGAAACGAGTAGAGATCCTATGTCCAAGTAAATTCAAGACGTCAATGATTACTTCGAGAGTGGTTACTACTTCAATGAAAGAACAGTATTTTAAAATGGGGATCTATTATGATAGCTATTAATCCTTAATATTGGTACTCTAGACGCAGCCCTGGATCAGTGGGAAGCCCTAATTGAGATCTAGACTACAGCCACGGTCAAGGCTTCACACCAGCCTTGATTCTGGCTAGCTAAATCACGAATTCAGAGAGATTCCATACAGGATGTATTTACTATATAAATTACACTTCTTCTATCTAGATGAGCCTAAACTATTGAGCAAGGTAATGTCTGTGACCAAGAACCATAGAATTCCTATATTTATATTACCACGTTTGCTAAGACTATATTGTTTTACCAGACTTTTGCTCCTGAACCTAATTAGACAAGTTAATAACGCATTTCTATTAATCTACACCACTTAAACCTATAGTTAAGAAACGATACAAAAAAGCATATACACTACTAATCCAACCTCTCAGATTATTATAAAACTATTTATCACCCTTTTGTTTTAACTTTATTCGATACGCCTTCTCTTTCTGTTCTGTTCTTTGCATGCTCCTATAACTTCCTGATGCTCAAGGCCTCTATCTCTCTTATGCGACCCTGGTGCAGCATTGTGTGGAGGTTGCTGATTGTTAAGAAATGGTGTCCATGGATCAAAAAGCGGCACCTCATTCCATGCCTGATACTGGTCTCTATTGGCCAGTTCATAAGTTTGCTCCTCAACATTTTCGTTTTGCTTTTCAGTGATCTCTTCCCCCTGATGGTTTCCAAGGCCATTTTGTTCAGACTCCTCAGCTGGGTCAAGGTTGGCCAGATCGACCCAATCTTCGAACTCGATACTTTCATAGATAGAGTGCTCGTAGTCAGGAAGGTCATTAACGGCGTCATACACGACAGGTATGCTCCCACTATCAGAAGATAGGTCGGCTTGTCCCTTGACGGCGGGTTCTACACCAAGCTCACCACACCTTGCTGTATCAGGGATCGTATACAAGCATGTATGAAGGGCTCTTGCAAAATCAACAGATCCTGTCTGCCAGCCGATGGCGTCATAGCGCTTCTTCTCAGTAATGACGGCGGACCATGCTCGTTGAGCAGACAATAATTGTTGTTGAATAGCGTAGAAATACTCTAATCCGAGATCGAGCTTTGCCTGGCAAGCTGCCATGATTTCCGAGGGACTATGCACGGCCTGCATTTTCATAAATTTCAACTCTTCTGCTGAAAGAGAGTTTTTATTTTTGTGGTTGGGCTGGCTAGAGCTGTAATCAAGAATATCTCGTACAGGATTCATACTGCCTGGTGATAAACGTCGTGAAATCGAAGACAGAAGTAAAGGACGGTTGAATATGAACAAGAATATCTAAAGCAAAATTTTGACTACTATGATACTTTTAAATAGTGTGCAAATCCAGCTCTGTGGATGCCAGGACGAAGATACGCTACCAGGACCACGGCTTGCGCCACAAGCCCGGCCATCAAGCATCCACAAGCCGGGCAAATATCTCAAGAGTATCTACATCAGCTATTATTAGCTAAGAACTTATGCCTTGATAGTGACTGTTTAAGAAGTCGAATTGTATTCCCACCTTATAACACATATTGAGACTTTGCTTGTTTAATCTATCTCGTCTATGATTCTCTTTTTACAAGCACATAGTATCACATCTTCATCAGTCCTATGGGTGATACAATACGACATGAGTTCAAGCAGATCATCATGGACTTCAGCCTGTTGTGAATCGCCACCGGTTGCTACGTCAGATACCATGGTGGCAATTTTAATAGGCGATGCTGAACAAATAAGCGGGATTGACGGCGCGGATCTCGCACCTTGGCTCTTGGTCCAAGCATGCCTTCAAGGGCCCGATGTAGTACGATCACTTCTATCCAATCATACTATCGATTTCAATCGTACAATTAGTTGGGATGATGAGGATCAAGTTCTTCACTGCCTCCTCCGTACAAAACCCAATCGCTTTCATGGCGACAAATCAGAGATTATTCGCATCCTCTTGGAGCATCAAATAGACAGTACTGCCCGGGGAAGACTTGGGGATACGGTGCTACATATCGCAGCAGGAGATACCAGACGACTCGAAGCCAAGACTCTACTTCAAACCTTGCTTAGCAAGACCGAAGAGGGAGTACCATTTATGAATCACCTTAAATGGCAAATAGATATCCAGAACGACTATGGAAATACCCCATTGATGGTTGCCACCTTGTATAACAATATTGAATGTATGAAAATACTCATTCAAAATGGAGCAGACTTACATATTAGGGGAGAACTAGGCAAGACACCACTCTACTGGGCGGTAGCTAAAGATCATGTAGAGGCTATTGAGTTGCTGCTTATTCATGGGAGCAGACTCGATCCAGATATACTGTCTATTACTAGCCCTGCAACACAAAAGTATATCAATGAATTCTGGGTTTAAGGTACTGACATTAGGTTATGTTTTAACCGTTACAACTTGTTTTCTTTCATCTATGTAGCCTACATTCAGTATGGCAAGCTATAATAGGATAGGAAGATGGCTGAAGTGAATCTGATCCTTGATTTTGTTTCCTAGGGCAAAAACAGCTTCCTTTAATAAGTAACACACCTTGAAAGTGACAGGATGTTCGCCTGTGAAGCGGAAGCCCCAGAACTAAAGCCTCATAGAAGGTAGATTTACAGCTAAAAGTACCGTGATAGCTGAGGCGAACACCTTTCCAAGAGCAGCTTTAGCCAGGATTATAGACTGCCTTTCTCCTAGGGTTGCCGCAAGCCCGGATCATGGCATGCTCATACTTAATTCTGGCTGATATCGAAGTGCATATAACTAATGACTTGGTACACACACCACAACATGCCTCGAGCGAATACCAACATTTACACTTTAAATCGTTCGAGTTGTGTAAGAGTAGGAAAATTACAAGTCATCTTGTTTCTGTTCACCAACTTGACAAGTCCCCTAGCTGCTAAGCCTACGAGTCTGACAACAAAAAGGAAAAGCGGCATTGAAGTATCCAGCTATGGACTTAAGAGAGTTTCACGATGATGACCTTGTTCAAGGGTTTAAGACGATCGATTTGAGAGAAACTGCATTCAGATTCAGTTCTAGTCACACAGCTAACGAGGATCTCGAGCATATGGAAATTGATACTTTAGGTTCTCCTGTAAAACAGTCCGTAGGTTTTAGGGACAGCCCATATGCGCTGGGAGAAGTCAAGCATAAGATGAAGGGTGGGAATGTTAAAAGGTCCTTACGTCGTACTTGGAGAGATAACGACAGTACACGATATCCTCAGCATACTGCAAATCAGACCGGGCCTTTGTCAACACATGAAGATTTTACGAATCGTGAATGGGCAAGGCCAGTAGGAAACGCCTTTACCTGGTCAAGGGCTACTAGGGTAGCACCTCGTCAGCAAAAGGCCCCATCAACAAAAATTGTTAGGATGATAAGAAAACGAGCAGCTAGGCAAGTTACATCCATCTGCAATAGCCTGATTGGGTATGATCCAATCAATGTATTTGCGACCAATTGTGAAACCACTTTGCCAGACTGGATAGTACTACTTCACAAGACCAGACTACCTACAGGTATCACCAGTACGGATTCACGTATCATTACCGCCTTTCAGGCGGTTGACACTGTTATCAATGGACACGGCACATATCTGCTGCAACGGCTGGCCAATATGCAATTGAAACGACTCTTTGATTCCCTCGAGGCTATCATAAAATCCGATAGGGACAACGGACGGATTCATCGCGAGCCATCTTATCGTAATGCAAATATTGCTATGGATATATATCTCAGTGCCCAAGCCATGCATTCAAATCAATCCAGGATTAAGCTCAAACAAGGCCGTAAACGATTTAGCAGACGATGGAGTCAATTAGCAGCCTCATCACCACTCTTTCTGCTGCTCTATTCAGATACAGCCGAACTCATTATGTAAGTATCTTCACCTCTGACTTGTCTCATAGCTAATTGAAGTAAAGTAAGGACTTTAAGAGGGTTAACAACTCGATGCTAAATGAGATAGCCAACCGAATCCTTAAGGCGTGTCCTAACAAGCTTACTAGCATATGTAATGAAGTGGACATGATGAATGAAAATGAGCTGGCTCAAACATTGAGGTCAAATCGCTTCACATCCGCTTATATTCGACGATATCTGCTTTCCTAAGCTACTCAAACCTTTTGTCTGTGTTCCTTGGTGTGGAGCGGTATCTAAATGTAGTTAGACTATAGCTAGACTGTTGGCATGGTGTGGCCAGAGGCCTGGATGCTGGCATGGTGTGGCCAGAGGCCTGGATGCTGGCATGGTGTGGCCAGAGGCCTGGATGCTGGCATGGTGTGGCCAGAGGCCTGGATGCTGGCATGGTGTGGCCAGAGGCCTGGAT